ATTGTTTCTCTCTTACTGGTCCAGTCAACTTTAATAAAGCACTTAGTGATTGCATATTAGAAATTTATCTGATTAAAGATATGACAAAATTCCTGTGTTCTATTATCAATACCCAGTTCTCCCAGAGACCAAACCCTCTGCTCATGAAATCCTCCAAGGCTCAACAGCAACATTAGAGATATCAGCACTAGGGTGAGAAGTGGTCAAGAGGGACGGCAGGGGCTTAAAAAGAATTGAGTTCAAATTTCAGAGCCAGTAAATAATAGATTTTAATCCAGGATAAGTGTTTCCCAAACTCCAGGGTGTGGCAAATAAACTCATGGCAGCTCCTCCATAGTAGACACATAAAAATCAATAGACCAATCCAACTGGTCTAATCACAATCATAACAGCTACAAACCCCCTTTTCTGTTTCCTCTGTACTTATTTCCAGGACCAGATACTCCTGGCCTCACCAGACAACCTTCCAAGTGTATCCTGGATCCACTTTCCAGTGTTTCAGTTCTATTTGGAATTATTTAGGCAGCAGAGCGGTACACTTCTTCCCCTGCCTACATCCTCCCCATCCTCCAACTGCTTTCTTTTATCCAGAATTGCAAAAGAAAATTAACATTTTGGCTCCCTCTGGCAACAAAACCTTGAATCATTTTCTCTTCACTTCTCCAGATGAGAGACTTGGAGGGGTGACAAGAAAAAAATTTTTTTTCAATTAATTTCCATTTGTTTCAAGTCTGAGTAAACTCTGGGCACACAGCAACCAGGATGATATGATTATGGAAACTATTAATCTCTCATCAAAGAAGAGCCAACTCATGGTTACGGAGCAGTTGGCACGTTCCTCCAAAGGGCTTCTGCAGCACGATCCTCCAGGTTCTTTAGGGGCCAGAAGTGCTCAGGGTGCAATCTGGGGAATTTCTAAAAGATAAAATAATCCTTCAGTGCTTTGTGAGTTGTTCTAGAAAACTTTATTCTAAGAAATATGTCCAAATAGAGTGGAAGAGAGAAATCAAAGATTTTCAGATGACTCAAGGCTCATCTAAAAAGGTAAAATGTGTACCTTTAAAGACCAGAGATCACTTGATGTGGGCAACAAGCAAATGGGTGCATTTAGAGCAAGAAGTCTCCAAATTGCTTTACTCCTGTCATCCTCCTTCCCCCTGAAAATTGCTTTAAATACTGAATACTACAATCATAAAAACTGAAATAAGCCGAAACCGGTTTGGCTCAGTGGATAGAGCGTCGGGCTGCGGACTGAAGGGTCCCAGATTCGATTCCGGTCAAGGGCATGTACCTGGGTTGTGGGCACATGCCCAGTGGGGGATGTGCAGGAGGCAGCTGATCGATGTTTCTCTCTCATCGATGTTTCTCTCTCATCGATGTTTCTAACTATCTCTCTCCCTTCCTCTCTGTAAAAAATCAATAAAATAAATTTTTTTAAAAAAATTGAAATAACTTCTATAAGTTATTTAGGACAAACAGGAGAGCTGCCTGATTTGTCCAAACCTAAAACACACATGAAAAGAAATTAAAGAATTCAATTTAGGGACTTTGTTCCAGGGTCCACATCATCAGATTTCTTTTCCTACCAATGGTGACAGAAATAGAGTACAGACTTCTCGTGACAAGGAGGTTAAAGGACTGAGGTTTCCTCCAGGAGACGTGCTTGCTGACTGACCAGGTGACTGCTTGCTCCTGGGAACATGTAGGAAAAGTCCAACATCAATTGTATTTTGAAGAAGGCACACTCATGGATTTATAAAGGCAACCAGCCTCCCCAAGGACAGTCCCAAAAGAAGAGTGAATTTCCAGAGATGCCAAATGGAATGGGATCAACAAGCACTATTTAAAGCAAAACTACATGCTCCCACTTTAAGTGACTTATAATAAAGAGAAAGGCATTCTCTGGAATTGTGGACTATGAGAAATATACGTCCCCCACCCACCCATCCACCTTGCTTTCGCTCTTTCCTGGAAGCAAGCTCATACTTCAGGAAGTCAAACTCCTCCAGGAGAATACAGAAAGCCTCTTCATCCTTTCTTCCCGTAATCCCATTGTTGGAGTCTGCATGCTCAAAGGGCCTGACGTCAATTCTATGAAAGGACCGTTTCCCCAAACGGTTCAATTTCCAATGTAATCATACAAACCCTGATTTGTAAGGAGAAAAACTCAAAATCATTATAAACAGATCCCATGATGTCAAAGGAAAAACAGCTAGAGTTTAATAAGCAGCCTTCTTTTATTACAATAGGCTTGACGTCATTATTTACTATTTCCAACACTAAAACACAAAGCCATGTGCTACACTGTGAACCAGCATGAAAAGGGTATGTGGACTTTGCTGAGTTTAATATCCTCTTATTGACAATAGATAGAAGATCTGAACAAGGACTAGGAACAGGAAATGATTTTAGTGATTTCATTACAGTAACAGAGAAAAGCATTTCCAATGACAGGGACTGACAGATGGTCTGGTAAGGCTTCACTTCTAAACAGCCTGCAGGGCAACAAGCCCAATATTGATATAAGCTCAGTGTATAATTAACGAGGTGTCCTAGTGAGCAGAAAAGTTTTCATAAATATATGCTATAGCCTTAGCAGTGGAACACAGAAAGCTGGAGTTTAAAAGTTAATCTAAAACCATTTCATAAGGAGAGCGCACTTGTGATCTTGGTTCCCAGCATGTCATCAGTTTGGCTCAAATAAATTCTTTAAAAAAACAACACAAAAAACCATACATATTTTTATTGATTTCAGAGAGGAAGGGAGAGGAAGAGAGAGATAGAAACATCAATGATGAGAGAGAATCATTGATCAGTTGCCTCTTGCACACTCCACATTGGGGATCGAGCCCACAACCTGGCTATGTGCCCTGACCAGGAATTAAACTTTGACCTCCTGGTTCATAGGTCAATGCTCAACCACTGAGCTACTCTGGCCGGACTCAAATATATTCTCATAAATTTTTAAAAAAATAAAAATAAAACCATTTCACAAGGAAAGTTATTTAAAGGCAGCAAGAGGTATACAGTAAGACTGTAGCTAAAGAGCTCTAATGTTCTAAGTAAAAATCATATTTGCAAGAAGTATCATGTGGTGGTATATCTTCACTTAATTCATCTCTAGTGAAAAATAAATGTGGTTGTAGAATTTTCAGATTATTGAGACTTTTCAGATCTCATTCAAGGAAACCTAAAATGCTTTATAATATACAGGATGGGGCAAAAGTAAGTTTACAGTTGTGAGTACTCAAAACAGAGTTTATTCTTGTATTATTATAAATTATTGTATTATTTTCCATAGATCAACTGTATATCTACTTTTGCCCTGCCCTGTTTTTTGAAATCATAAAGTGTAATGTATCCAGTTTTGTTCTTTTTGTTCAAATTGCATTGGCTATTTGGAGTCGTTTATGGTGCCGCATGAATTTTAGGATTGTTTTCTTTCTATTTCTATTTTCTATGTGCCACTGGGATTTTGATGGGGACTGTATTGAATCTGTAGATTACTTTGAGCAGTATGAATATTTTAATATTAATTCTTCCAATTCATGATCTTGGGATGTCTTTCCATTTATTTGTGCTTCCCTTAATTCTTTTTGTCAATGTTTTGCAGTTTTTAGTGTACAAGTCTTTCACCTCCTTGGTTAAGGTTATTTGTAAGCATCTCATTTTATTATAGCTATTAGAGACCTGGTGCACGAATTCATGCACAGGTGGGGTCCCTCAACCTGGCCAGCGATCAAGGCCCATCAGGGGACTGGATGGCCGTGGGGAGGGATCCTGGGAGGTTGGCTGTGGGAGCGCACTGACCACCAGAAGGCAACTCCTGCGTTAAGTGTCTGCCCCCCTAGTGGTCAGTGCGCATGATAGCAACTGGTCGACCAGTCATTCCGGTCCTTCAGTCATAACGGTCGCTTAGGCTTTTATATATCCTAATAAAAGAGTAGTATGCAAATTAACAATCACTCCATCACTCTATCACAAAGATGGAGGCACCCATAGCCACAAGATGGCGACGACCAGTCCCCTCAGCACTGCCGCTTAAGTGTCCAGGCCTGTTGGCCAGGCAGGTGGCGGGGGAGGTGGGGGAGGGGAGGTGCCACTTCATCGCTGCTGGAGTGTCCCGGCCTGTCGACCCAGCCGGGGGCCACAGGGGCGAGCAGCGCGACATGATCCGCCCACTCTGGCAGCCGATCCAGCCTCGCTGCTCCGCCACCGATGGAGTGTCCCGAGGCAGTGGACACAGGAGCAGAGCTGAGGCAGCGGAGACAGGAGGGAGCGAGGCCGTGGAAAAGGGCGGGCTTCGCTTCCTTCTCTGCTTTGCTCCGGCCGCAGGAAGCCCTATTTTTGCAGGAATCTTCCTGCAACGGGCCTCTAGTATAGATTATAAATGGGATTGTTTTAAAACAGACATAGACTAATAGAACAGAACAGAGAGCCCAGAAATAAACCGACACACAGTCAACTGTCAACAAAGATAGCCCCTTTGCCTTTCTTCTTTTCCCTCCCTGAATGTGGATGAAAGGACCAGAGATCGTATAGTCCCCTTAACCACAAGACAATAAACATGAACACACAGGTCTACATGGCAGAACACCTGGACGTGAAAGGAGCTAGGGTCCCTAAGCCACCGTATCAGGTCTGTACTACTTACCTCTGGACTTCTTATTACATAATGCATAAAAGCTATTATAGTATGGTTTTCTATTGGTGCAGCAGAATATGCTTGTAGTAGACACAAATATAAAATTCTCACATAAAAATCAAATTAATAGTTATAGAAAAAAATCCTTGGGATGTCTTTATTCTTGGAAAAAAACGTCAATGACAAGCTTGTATTTTTGTTTTCTTTACCTGAAGAAAACAATACCACATAACCAATACCACCAAAAAAGGGGGCAGGGGTGTTTGATGGTGATGAAACTCCAGATTCCAATACTAAACAAAAATGAGATTAAGGCCGGGGGAGGGAGAAGTGCATGAATGTAATACCAGACAACTATGGTCTTATACAGGTTTTATCTAATAGTTCCTATACATCAATTTCAACTGTCAGTAACAAAAATAAAGTTTACTTCTTTGGCAGAGGGAATTACAATTCAGTTTTTAAGTCTGAACCTTTAAACTTGGGAAGCTTTCTTCTAGGTCACCAGCAAGGGTCTTATCAACTTCATATAGGATTTTAAGAAAGTCTTCCACCTGTGAGTCAAACAAAAGAATCAAATAACATAAGTAGAGGAAAAGGTGAACTAAGATATTGATTACTAAAACATCAATGAAGTGACAAGATCTTACTATTTTGTTTTACTTTTAAACTAGTATTTACTCTCCCACTGATTCCCCTTTAGGTCCATTAATGAAGTTTTATTTCCATCCTCCTTCCTGCCACGTCCCTTCACTCTCATATTTTTTTAAAATATATTTTATTATTGAGTTTTTACAGATAGGAAGGGAGAAGGATAGAAAGTTAGAAACATCAATGAGAGAGAAACATCAATCAGCTGCCTCCTGCACATCTCCTACTGGGGATATGCCCGCAACCAAGGTACATGCCCTTGACCGGAATCGAACCTGGGACCTTTCAGTTCGCAGGCCGACGCTCTACCCACTGAGCCAAACCAGTTAGAGCCACTCTCATATTTTCATATTTCACTTTCCTAAAAAAAGTTCCTATCTTGAAATTGCCTCTAATGAAAGCAAGCAAATGTGATGTAATTCGAAGAACCAGAAAAACCTACTGACTGTACCTAAGAACCTTATTTTTGATTAATATATTTATTATCTACTTCCTAACAGAAAAGAATACTGTAAATTCAGTGTTGATTCCTTTCTCTTAAAACTTGAACTGTTCCTCAGGATCCTCCCATGACTTATCCAGCAGTCATCTGTCTGGCAAAGGCAGTAAGTCATGTGAATTGTATGCATTATCTTGTTTGACAATGGCCTCAAAAATCAAGTAATCCTCTGAAACTCAATCACCTATACATTTACCCCCACTCACCACAGGGCTATAGGAAGGAAGAAGGTTTTGAAATGCACAGGAACACTTCTGCTTGCTTAACTGGCCCTCCTTTAGTCCCTTAGTTACAGTTTCCTAAAACAAAACAAAAAGAAAGGAAAATTTCTAAAGCTGTATCTGGCAAATAAATACAAATCCATTTATACAATTCTCCACTGATAGTACAGGCATTTCAAAGGTCCCAAACTGAACCCAGTATCATTCTTTCCTGTGTAACCCAAACACGTGCTCCATTGCAGTCCTTATTTTAGTGAAGACTACCACCACATACCCACCTACCCCACTACACACACCAAAAACCTGGAATACAGCCAAGACTTTTCCTCCTCTGCTGCTGACCCCTTCCCTTGAGTGTTCATTCTATCAATAATCTGTTATCCTACACCTCCTCTCCACCCACACGTCCATTGTTTAGATAGGCTCTCATTTCTCAGATTCTTCTTTTTTTTTTCTTTTTTGAGTATAGATATATTTATTATTTTGATTGGGTAATGGTATCATAGATGTATACATAGGCTAAAGTTTTTCAAATTGCACTCTTCAAATATGTACAGTTTACTGTATGCCAATTATAAAAGCATAGAACAGACTGATGAATCTCAGAGGGAAAGTAGGCGTGGAAAGAGATTAACCAAAGAATTTATATGCATATCCGCATACCCATGGACACAGACAATAATGTAGTGAAGATCTAGGGTAGGGGCGGAGGGTAGAGGGGGGACAATAAAGGGGGGATAGAGGAGAACATCTGTAATATTTTCAACAATAAAGATAAATTTTAAAAATAAAAAGTAATAAAAATTACTGATGTACCAGATTATTCTTGAAGATTACAGTCACAAAAGCCTGTTGATTGGTCTCTAGATCTCCAGCCTCAACTGTCTGTAATCTTCTCTCTCTTGCTTTTGGAGTAATCTTTCTAAACAGATCTTATCACCTGATGCTTTTTAAAAAAACCTTTAGTAGTTCCCCAGTTTCCTCCAGATTAAGTCCAAACTCCATTAAGTATGACATGTAGGAACTTTCATGTCACATCCTGCTTTAATCTCAGCCCACCTTTCTCCTGTATCCCTACCACTTAAAAATTAGGAAACATCTACGTCCCTCTCTCCAAAAACACAAAAGGAACAGCAAACAATGGGAAAAATACTTGCAATGGATATTCAGAAGATATAGTATTACCCATGGAATTCCATGCCAATAATCAAAACTAATAAATTTATAAAGCAGGAAACACAACCAATATACAAATATATGTAAAGATATTCAAACTCACTAATAATAAAAAATGCCAATCAAAATAAGGTACAATTTAATCACCTCTTGAATTTTACTTGACATAAAATTATAATACCCAATAATAAGGATCAAGTAAAATCAACATTTCACATGTCAAAAGCCTTTTCAAAAAATGTAGCCATTATGCCTCAGTCATCTTCACATTTATAATGTCAAATCTAGTAACCCAACTTCTGAAAACCTATGCTAAGGTAAAACAAATCACCAGAATAACAGAAACTTGTTTTGATAAGTATTCTTGAAAAAACTTCAATGAATATGAATATATAGTCTATAGTTATGTTCATATATTTTTACCCTAAAATATATGAACAATAAGGATATGCTCAAAGGAAGAATAGGCTAATAAACCTGAACATATTTAGGAAAACTATTCCTTAAAAAAAGTTTACAATCAATTTTATAAATTGATTTTTTGGCAAATTAGGTATTAAACTGGCTCGGTAAAAAGTGTTTCAGTGAATTGATCTAGTCAGGAGAAATGCTTACAATGTAATGTTAAGTGAAAACTGTATATATAGATTATAAATATGTGAAAAACATATACATATATAAAAATATACCAAACCACATCAGCTGCTGGTTTAAAACTTATAAGCTTATGGTGACAAGTTCTTTCTTCATTTTGCCAAAAATAATAACAGTAATAATAAAGGTGGGAACATTAAGCAGTTCATACTTTCTTTTGCTGAAGAAACCATTAATAGATCTTTCTTACCTTTGTTAATGCCTGAAAAATATTAGAAAGAAATTCACACGAAATATCCTTTAAGATTTCCAAGTGGAAATAATCTTGGGTTAAATCAAACTTTTTAGTTTCTTCTGTGTTAGACTCTGCCGAATTCTCTGGTTTCTTCTGACAATGTTCCACATTTTGTAAGACACGAATCAGGCTGTCTATTAGAGAAAGATTTACTGTACAAACAAATCAAGAGGCATGAGATTAGCCAGTTAAGTTTGGTTATTCACTCATCATTCATTCATTCATACTGAATATCTATTAGTGCTAGAGATACTTTAGGTACTACAGTTATAGTGCCACACAAGATCATCAAAGCCTCAGCCTTCAAGACACTTATATTTTTATACTCTCAAATGTGCAAATGAGTAAAGCAGGTCATTTCAGATGTTGGTTAAGTTGTATGAAGAAAATTAAAGAGACTATAATAAAGCAGCTGGCAGGGGAGGCTCTCTGAAGAGGTGACACCCAGTTGAGAACAAAAGGATAAGAAGAATCAATGCAAAGAGCCCAGAAAAATATTTCAGGCAGAGAGAACAAGTGCAAAAGCCCCAAACAGGAAATGTCATGGAAGGTCTGAAAAACTAAAAGGCCAGTGACTTACACTGTGTGAGCAAGGAGGGCACAAGATGAGTTTAGAAAGTTGGGCAAGCCCTGCTGGTGTTGCCCAGTGGTTAAGCATCAACCTATGAACCAGGAGATCACGGTTCCATTCCCTATAAGGACACATGTTTTGGGCTTTATCTTCAGTAGAGGGCATGCAGGAGGCAGCTGATCAATAATTCTCTCTCATCATTGATGTTTCTCTCTCTCTCTCTCTCCCTCTCTGAAATCAATAAAAAAAATTTTTTTTAAAACCTATATCCTCTAGTAAGGATTTTTTTAAAAAGGGAGAAAGAAACCAAATGAACAATACAAACCTGGGCTTTAAAATCTGACAGAATTTAATTTAGTGCACTAAAATGATACTTGCCTTTTTCTACCTTTAGATACTCCTGTTCAACCTTTGAAGCATAGATGGCAGACAATACTGAAAAAATAGAGGCCAGCACTGTTTTCTGTTCTTGAAGTATGATGGGTGGATCATCAGACTGGCAGAATTCATGGCAGACTAGGTCAAAAAGTAAATTCCAAGTGTCTTTTCCAGTATCAGGACACTGTACTTAATAAAAATGATAAAGAAAATAGTACTTTAAAAACAGAAAACAATTAAGTGAATAGATATAGTGCTTCCCCATATAACATCTTACCAATTGCTTGCATTCCATCATCTACTGTAGTAAGTAGCTGTAAGATGTGCATGTAAACATCGAGTCCTTCCAGATTTTCAGAACTAAATATAAAAAGCAAAAGCACTGAATCAACAACTTTACTATCTATAGGATTGTAATTGTTCATCCATTCATTCAACAAATACTCATCACTCTGTACTAGTTCACTCCCAGAGGTGTTAAAGATAAAACAGGGAACAGGACAAAATCTCTGTACTCACTGGAGCTTACCAGTTTGTTCTAATGGGGAAATCAGTAAAAAAACAAGTATCCTATAATATAATCAACATGAACAAGACAAGAAGAAAAATTCTTTTTCACCTTGTCACATGAAAACAATGCAGAAACCTGAGAGGTGATACTTTATCATTCTGGTTTACCTGAATAATCAGGAGGGGGGAAAATGACTTTTATAGAATGAATGTAAGGTCCACTACACCAAGCACTGACAATAATGAAGTTCTTAAAACTTCACAGGATTATCCTAGCTCCCTCGCTCAGAATACTAAAACCATGTTAAGTATAATTTTTGTGTTCAACAGCTTGGATTCCTAGAAACTCACAATCCTAGTTCTTCAGCCAAACAATTATGTAAAAACATAGTAATTAAAAGATGGTCTAGCAAATATTTAAGTACCTACTGTTTTCAGGTACTATGTGAGGGGCTGGGAAAACAGAGATGTATAAAACACTGTTTCTACCTTCATGAGGTTTACAGTCTAAAAGGAAAGAAGATAAAGGGGCAATAGCAAAGTAATAAGAATGTAATTCTAGAGGAAATCCAAGGTATCAGAGGAACACATAGCAAAAAAACTTCATTTACTTTGGAGAATCAGTAAAGGTATCTTAAGAGAAATATTGTCGACACAGAAACCTGAAGGGGCAAAGAAACGTTTGAAGTAGAGGAGACATAGTGTGCAAAAGCCTGGAGTTCCGAGAGCTTGGTTCCATTGAAGAAATAAAGGAAATTTCATATGGCTGAAACACAGAGTACAAAGAGTAAGTATGGAGAAGCACTATGCAAGAACTTTTAAGTCAAATTTTTTAAAACTTTGAACCTTTTCCTAAGAAAAGCAACTGAAGAGTTTGAAGCATGAAGGAGGGATGATCACTACAGTGTGCTCTACATTTGAGGCTTGCAAGGAGCCAGCCTTGAACCAGGGAACTCAGGTAAGAATGTTGCAGTTGTCCAGGTGAGAGACAGTGGCCTGATGGTGGCCTGATGGGATCTCAGAAAAAGTCAGGACCAAGGCTTGGAGGTTGAGTGGCCATGGGAAAAGAGTGGGATGGGGAAGAACTGGCAACAGCTTCCACATTCTTCCCTGAGATTGAGAATACTGAAGAAAATTTGGGGAAAATGATGAATTTAATCTTCATTTGGATAAAGGTCATAAAATTAATAAGCTTTAATGTGTGTTATTAAGCACTAAGAATGCACAACTGACCACTAAACAGATCAATTCATAAATTAATTTTCTAGTCACTAACAATAAACAGTTTCAATAACCTACAAGACCTAGTAATCACTCTTGGGAAGATTCCAAAAGCCAGTCAGTTATCCAAGACTGGCATATATTTACAAGAAGCAAGAAAACAAATATATGACATTAGCTGAAGAAGTTGTTAAATGTCCAATGGAAAATAAAGCACAGGAAAATCTTATCTACTTGATTTATATTACACAAAATTGCTTAAGATTTTAAGACACTAAAGATAAATAATGCTGACAATAGCCTACAGCTAATTAGGTACTTTGTAACAATTAATAATTCTTGCACAGACCAAATATACTGTCACCACAAATACTAAAAGTAAACCAAGCCTGATAAAGATCAGCTATGTGCTATTCATCCTGTCGGAAGGAAATTAAGATGACTTATTATCTAAGGATACTTCTAGCAACTAGATTTTCCCAGAATATTTTGTACAAAAAAGCTCACCTACCGTACTTGTTTGGCAGCTTCAAGCACACAGGGCACAATTCTAAACACTCGTTGATCTTCAGAATCTTCCTGGGGTTGGCCCTGAGGCTGAACGGCCCCATTTCTAATCCATTCCAACATCAGCTTCTCATCCAAATCAAAGAGCTTGTCTACAACCTCCCCCACCTTCACCAGCAAGTCAACTGCAGAGAAAAAATCAGATATTGAAATGAGAAACAAAATTTTAAAAGCAGTAATGTTAATCGAAATTCCTAAAGCTAACTGAACAACGTCAATCTTGCCAAAGCATTACTTATTCCAAGAGCAGTAAGTTTGCCTCCTTTGCTTGGGAGTTTAAGAAGAAATTTTACGCCCTGACTGGGTAGTTCAGTTGGTCAGAGTGTGTAATCCAGATACACCAAAGTGGCGGGTTTGATCTCTGGTCAGGGCACATACAAGAATCAACCAATGAATGCATAAATAAGTGGAACGACAAAGCTATGTTTATGTCTCTCTCTCTCTCTCCACCCCTTTCCTTTCTCTCTCTCTAAAATCAATGAATAAAAATTTTAAAAGAATTTTGTATCTTTTTCTAAATAATATTTTTCAATTACAGTTGACATACAATCCATTAGTTTCAGGTGTACAACATAGTGATTAGATATTTACTTATCTTACAAAGTGATCATCCCGATAAATCTAGTACCCATCTAACATTACATAAGAAATTTAATATCTTGAGTTGAAGTACTTTCTCTCCTAACACTTAGCCTTTAGATGACCTCCAGAAATAGTTACCTGGTTTCCTAACAAAAAATAATCAAAAATTTTTTCTAGCCCTGGCTGGTTTGGCTCGCCGATTAGAGAATCAGCACATGGACTGAAGGGTCGCAGGATTGATTCCTGGTTAAGGGCACACACCTCATACCTTGGTTGCAGGGTCCCCCGTCCCAGTATGGGTACATGTGAGAGGCAACAATTGATGTGTCTCTCTCACTTCAATGTTTCTTTCTCTCTCTTCCCCTCCTCCCTCCCTTCCACTCTCTCTAGAAATCCACGGAAAAAATATCCTCAGGTGAGGACTAAAACAAAAAGATTTGTTTGTCTTTTTAATTTTTTTCTATATTGCATGGTGACTTACCATTTGTTGAACTTGACATGATGAAGCAAATGCTATCATAAATAGCTGGATGTTCCTGGATTCTTCCAACCCAGACACTGGCCACTTCTGTCTGAGAAAGGCATGTAAGCAACAATCTACAGGATAAATAAATGTGAGCTTAATATCTATCTTTTAAAAACAGTAAAGGAAATTCAAGAATAAAGAGTTAACTCTATTAGCCTCCCTTCTGGGTGAGTACAAAAAATCCATAAAAAGAGGAAAACATACCTGCTTGTTTCCAGCAAAGTAGGAGGGTCTGAATCATACAAACAGTGCAATAATACCTGGCTACAAAAACAAAATAGTTAAACCAATATGCATTAATTCTCTCATTTTAAATATCAAAGCAGAGTTTTCATTTAACTTTTAAAACTTTTTAATTGTGAAATATAGCATATATATGTAAAAGCCTGTGATAAAATCTACACTCAGTGAATAAATACAAAGCAGAAAACAGAACAGTGCTGCATCTCCATAGCCCATGTGTCCATTCCAAATCACAATTCCTTCCCATCTAGAAATTACTATCCTGACTTTCCAGCAGTCATTTATTTGCTTTACTCTATATTGTTATTATTTAATATATGTTGGCTTTAAACTTTATATGAAAGAAATTATATTGCATGCATTTTTGTGAGTTTTAGTTTAGATATGCAAATAAGACATTTAAACATGTGTTTAAGATCTACCCATGTTGTTCCTGTAGCTACTGTTCTTTGATTCATTGCTGCAGAACATTCCATTGTATGAATATAACACAATGTATTTTTCCAGCCTATTACTGATGGACACGGGTTAATTCCAATTTGTGGTTATTTCAAGCAATGCTCCTATAATGCTCATACTTTTTCTATGAGCATCCTAATGTATGTGTGCATGGTTTCTCTTAGCATATATCTGCTAGTGGCATCGCTGGGTCACAATATATGCCTACCTACTAACTTGACTAGATAATGCCCAACTGTTCCAAAGCAGTTGAACAAATTCATATCCTGTCATCAATGTAAACTGTTCCAGAATAATTTTAAGATAATCATTTATTGAATTAATAAAACTTAACATTACTCATTCTCAGATTTTTGACAGGGACCATTAGAGACCAAGCACAGTCCTGAGTCATATACTCCATGAATGATTATCAATTACTGAGGGATAAATAGCTAGGATCTGAAGTCCCTCCACACCAAGAAGAGGTAATATCACTTGAATCCCATAATAAACCCTACAGTCCTAACTGGCAATACTGCCCAAGACAGGTTTCTAAACTACTGTGGGCACAAATTTATTTGCGATTCTGATTAACAGCCATGAAGCCTTTGCCTAGAATATGAATTCACTCACAAAATTTAGCATATATTTCCAAGGCTAGATATATGTGTACTCAAACCTCTTAAAGTAACCAGGGTTCCCACCATTAAAAATCCTCTACCCGCAAATTCCTGTCTAGAGAAGACAACTAGCCTCCAAGCACAGTACAAAAGCCTTTGAACCACAGAGGCAATCCTGTGTGTTCTGGTCTGTTGAAGTCAGAGTTCTCAGGGTAACTCTGTCAACAAGTCTAGTTTATCAGACTCTCTGAGCCTTTGGGGTCCCTGAGCCTAAACTGTTTTGGACTCTAATCAGGTACCCCATGTCTAAGCTCTGACTCACTGGTTCTTATCCTATCTGATTTACCACCTGCTGATGACAGAGGTCCCTTTCCTATAAAAATCTTGACTCATGACCATAAATAGTGTGAAAGCTCCTAGCTACCATCAAAACACAATGAGCCCAACTGGCGTGGCTCAGTGGTTGAGTGTCAACCTAGGAACCAGGAGGTTACGGTTCAATTCCTGGTCAGGACACATGCCCAGGTTGTGGGCTCGGTTCCCAGTAGGAGGCATATAGGAGGTAGCCAATCAATGATTCTCTCTTATCATTGATGTTTCTTTACTCTCTCCCTCTCCCTTCCTCTCTGAAATCAATAAAAATATATTTTTAAAAACATACACACAATGACATTTCTGGAGAGTGTTCATCAAGAGAAAGGAAGTACTATATTTCATAATATTTTCCTCTCTCTCCTATGTATCAGGAGTTCCTTAGGGATACGAAATACAAATCTATTTTTTTAAACATACTTATTATGTAGTAAAACTTACCCAAGATTTTTATCACGGCTGATGGACACACATATCTCCTGGAAACAGGCCATATTACCTAAAATTCCCACACAGATTTCCTGTCAAATCAAATTTCACAGGTCACAATAGCTCTAAGTTGACAGACACATAAAAGAATAAACACTTGAAGAAAAACTTTCACTGAACCTTGGGCAACAGAACAGGAGGCTGCATATAGAAGTATATTGCCTGCACCCCAATCTTAACAAGCTCAGACTATCTGGGAAGGGATGGGAGACATGGGAAGAAGATCAAGGCAGGCAGAAGTTATGGAAGAAAAAATCTTTTCTTAAAAAATATATTTTATTGATTTTTTACAGAGAGGAAGGGAGAGGGATAGAGAGTTAGAAATATCGATGAGAGAGAAACATCGATCAGCTGCTTTCTGCACACTCCCTACTAGGGATGTGCCCGCAACCAAGGTACATGCCCTTGACCGGAATCGAACCTGGGACCCTTGAGTCCCCAGGCCGATGCTCTGTCCACTGAGCCAAACCAGTTAGGGCTGGAAGAAAAAAATCTTATGGATAAACTGAATCTTAAATGATTGATAGGATTTATTTTTCTTTAAATATATTTTTATTGACAGCGGGAGGCTTCGGCAGCCATGGCTCCCAACGTTCCCGCGGCTGAGCCGGCCCCAGAGAGTCCTAAAGGCATCCGGGCCGTGCTACTGGGGCCGCCCGGGGCCGGCAAGGGCACCCAGGCACCCAAATTGGCCAAAAACTTCTGTGTCTGCCATCTGGCAACTGGGGACATGCTGAGGGCCATGGTGGCTTCTGGCTCAGAGCTGGGGAAAAAGCTGAAGGCAACTATGGATGCTGGGAAGCTGGTGAGTGATGAAATGGTCATGGAACTCATTGAGAAGAATTTGGACACCCCTCCATGCAAAAATGGTTTTCTTCTAGATGGCTTCCCCCGGCCTGTGAGGCAGGCAGAAATGCCTGACGACCTCATGGAGAAGAGGAAAGAGAAGCTTGATTCTGTGATTGAATTCCGCATCCCAGACTCCCTGTTGATCCGGAGAATTACAGGAAGGCTGATTCACCCCCTGAGTGGCCGTTCCTACCACGAGGAGTTCAACCCCCCAAAGGAGCCCATGAAAGATGACATCACTGGGGAACCATTGATCCGAAGATCAGATGATAATAAGAAGGCCTTGAAAATCTGCCTGGAGGGCTATCACACGCAGACTACCCCGCTGGTGGAATACTACAGGAAACGGGGGATCCACGCTGCCATCGACGCCTCCCAGACCCCTGATGTCGTGTTTGCGAGCATTCTAGCAGCCTTCTCCAAAGCCACATCCTAGTAGCAGAAGGCCAGGCGAGACTGCACCACTGCTCATCACCCCGCGGCGCGATCCCTGCTTTTAGGTGCTGGGTAGAGGGGAGGGGTGGTCAGGGTAAGGATGGAGAATCAAGTGTGGTGAAGGGCTCACGAAAAGTATTGGAAGGGCAGCAGTGTTGTAGGGAGGTGATTTCTTTCGCATATAGTAGGAGTCTTAAAGAGTATGTGTAATTAATTTTTTTAAAGACTGATTGAAGGATATAAGTAGAAATAAGGAGGTGCAGTACTATTTCTAAGGAATCAGTTTTTCATTTACTCTGGACTGGTAACAATATTTTTTAAAGCCAGTTCCCTGAGACCTCAACTTTTATCTCAGAACCTCATGGGTTGTCAGCCCAGGAATGCAGGCAATCAAACTGTTGTCCTCTCTGTCCTATAACCAGGGACAGGCAAGGCTTGACTACTGACACTGGTTCCCCACACCCTGTGATCAAAAAATCATCTCCACATTTGAAAGAGAATACAGGGTGTGCTCATCATGGGGGCAGTGGCTCAGCACAAAATGTTTACAGGAGTCATGGGGAGGGGGGGCAGGCCGGTCTCACTCCCTTGCCGGCTTACCACTGATTTACCAGTCCACCTGCTCTCATGGGTGAGTGCTCAGCAGTTGTGCCACAACTCTACGCTCTTGCCTTCTTTCATCCATGGTGTGTGAAGGGCCCTTCAAATAAATGAGCAAGTGTCCTAAGCAACATCATCCAAAGATTGTCCTTCCGGCCCTCACATCCTGTGACTGGGATCACTCGACAGCACTGTGATGTATTTTCAATGAGGTGCCTTTCTTAAAGACCAAAGACTGCCTTGTTTGGCCCCTAAATCAATAAAGTATGTAAAAGTTTGCAAAAATAAATAAATAAATAAATAAATATATTTTTATTGATTTCAGAGACAGAGGAAGGGAGAGGAGTAGAGAGATGAAAACACCAATAAGAGAGAAACATCGATCGGCTGCCTCCTACTGGGGATCAAGCCCACAACCTGGGCATGTGCCCTGACCAGGAATTGAACCAGTGGCCTCTTGGTTCATGGGCCACACCGGCTGGGCGACTGGAAGGATTTATATATGCAAATAAGAAAGACATTTAAACAAGGGGCAAAGTATCAGGAAAGGCAAAAAGGGAATAATGTACATGGCTAATACAGTGGACAGTAAGGAAAGCAGTCTGGCTACTGTATAAAGTGAGAGAACAGCATGAGATAAATACAGCAGGTAAAAAGGATCAGGATTGAGGGTCTGAATGCCAAGAAGAGTTTAGATTTAATTTAGAAGGTTACGTAGAGCCATGAAATCCTCAAGGAACAGGACAATATACTGAAACGATATTTAAGGAAGATGACTCTGGCAGCAAAATGCATTGAAAAAACTTTAAAAAACTCAGTAATAACAACTGTTATTTGGCACTTACTATGCCCAAGCACTGCTCTAAGCACTTTCTATGTATCGTCTATATATATAAAAGCCTAAAAAAATAAAAAAAATAATAGGGAAAACAAAAAGCCTAAGCCTGGGGCTGGAGATTGAACCTGCTACCCAGGTATGTGCCCTTGACTGGGAACGAAACTCGGACCCTTTGGTCTGCAGGCTGATGCTCTAAACACTGAGCAAAACCGTTCAGGGACAGGCGCAGGATTTTTAAAAGCTTCTTAAGGCAAAGCTTCTTAAAATGTGGGCCTTGGTCCAGAGCAGTAGAATCACTTGGGAACTTGTTCAAAATCCTTGATCCTACCCCAAACCTACTGGATCAGAAACTCGGGGGTGTGCCCAGAAATCAGTGATCCTGGGATATGTTGAAGTTTGAGAGTCCCCATCCTCAGTGATTCTAACGTGTGGCCAAGTAGCTTACAGACATGTATAATGATATGACTAATTCCTGAAACGTGCCATTCCTGACATGTTTAAGTACTAATCATGAATCAATGTATTTAAGTTAGAAAAATATGAGAAAATCATATAACTGTCAAGTCTTTATCTATACATATAAAACCCCAAGTGACCAGTCAACCGTTTGACAGTTCGACCGGTCGCTACAATGCACACTAACCACCAGGGGGCAGACGCTCAATGCAGGAGCTCCCTCCTGGTGGTCAGTGCACTCCCACAGTGGGAGCGTCGCTCAGCTCGCTCAGCTGACCAATGGGCACCAGACACCGGGCTCACAGTTGGCGAGTGCAGCTGCGGCGGTGCGGGCCTCTCCTGCCTCCACAGCAGCACTACCAGGCAGCGGCAGTGGCAGGTGCTCTGGGGCCGGATGAGCAGGAGTGGGAGCAATGTGGCGCCTGGCCCAGGCTGAGGCTCCTCCTCCTCCCCAGCCTCCTGCTGCTTCACATACTACTACACCCCTTGGGGGATGTTGGACTGTCGGGGATCGGGCTGAAACTGGAAGTCCCACATCCCGTGAGGGGTCCCAGATTATGAGAGGGCACAGACCAGGCTGAGGGACCCCACCAGTACAGCACTGTATTAAATCAAATTTTAATTCAACATTCAATTTGTAAAAATTTGCTATAAAATTCTCCACTTCATAATTTCAAAGGGAGAAAGAAAGACAGACAATAAGTACAGTGGTTATACTGAATGGCAGACTAGGCTCAAACCCCAACTTTATTCTTTCCTAATTGTAAGACCTTAGACTAATTTCTTAAGCTGAGACCTAATTCTTTTATTTATAAAGTAGAGATAAATGCCTACCTCATAGAGTAGTAAAACCAAATATTCAATTTTCGTAATTATAATTACTTAACAGACAATAGTCACCTACAATATGCATAACACATAGCAACCTAAATGGCACTAAAGCAAAATACACTGCACAGAACATAAAGAGTAAATGAGAAGTACAGGTAATTATTTGGGAGTTTATTGTCAGCAATGGCCACTGAGAGCTTACTTCTTTGGGAAATGTTGGAAGAAAAGTATCATCTTGGATAATAGATGTGAATATTGAGAGGGGATGGAAGGCATACAAAGGGAGGCCCCGAGATGGTGATGATCACAGTAAGCTCCTGAGATGCTAAATTAGAAGGAAATCTGAAGGGTAGATTTTATGCTAGGAAGATGAATTAGATTCAGGTTATGGAAAGTCTTGAATAACGGGCTGAGTTTAGAATGAAGATTTTTAAGCAATGGAGGATTTTATGACTAAAAAAGAGCAATAAACAGAAATGGAAGGTTCACACACTGTTCCCTGTCCTGCCACATATTAGCAGCATAACTTCAGTTATGCTTATCTGAAAGCATTGATCTCCCTGGTCTAGACCAAATCTAAAATTCTAGGACTCTAATAATTTTAAATAGCACATTACCTAGTACCTGGTAATGTTCAGTAATATTCAATAAGCATTTGCGAGTGATTTGTAGCCAGTAAGAAAATTAAAGTGAGAAAAATTAAAGACTGTCCAGCATTATCTGTTATTGCTCCAAAGAGGAGGCCATAAAAATGTACATACTTACTCTTAATCGAGGACATTTGGATTTGGCCAATACACCCATAAATATGTCAGGAGCATTAAATTCTTGGAGAAATAAAGCCACATCCTGAAAATAAAAATGATAATTAACATGGATATTGAATGTTCCTCTTTAAACCCATAGCTTAGGCAACCGTAAAAAAATTTTAATTCCACATATACCTACTTTCAGGATAAGAAAAAGTTAGGAACTGTGTCAACATTAATGTTAGAAAGTCTTTGTGGTAGCTGGTCCCAAAGCCATGGAACAATTCCATAAGCAAATCTAAACTACTTGTGATATTCCAGAAGGCTGTCCTCTTTTCCTGCCTTGAATATATTAACATTAATGATCTTCCTACACACCAGGCATTCTCATTCATTCAAACACATTTCCTGATTGCCAGGTATCATGCTAGAAGCTAGGAATAAAGAAAAAGTAACACTCTTAATTCCTCTCTTCTAAGAGCTAAAAAACACAATAGGGGAAACAGGTGAAAACTCCTACTGGGTTATGCCCAAAGTCAGAACTTGTGCTTTCAAAATCTTCAACAGAAAAAAATTCTGGTCACAGTATAACTGCAGCAGCTTCACACTTCCTTCCTAGAGAGTTTGCCCTGTCCACGGCACTTAACGGGACACACTACACAGGTAAAGGAACCTGGAGTGAACATGTGACCCCATTTTGTTAGAAATGTGGGTCCCAAAACTAAATCAGTTTGCTGAAATTAGAGAAGACCTAAATAAATGTAAAGATATAACTTGTTCATGGTTAAGAGACTCATTCTCGGTAATTTACCAATTCTTCCCCTAAATGATCTATTAATTCAACTCAATCTCACATTCTAAAACTAATATGGAAATACAAAGAACCAATGACAACCAAAACAACTGTGACAAAGAACAAAGCTGGAGGATTAACACTACCTGATTTCAAGATTTATTATAATATTAGTCGTCAAAATTGTGTGGGATTGGTGTAAAAATAGACAAATAGATCAATGGAACAGAAAAGAGTCCAAAAACACATTCACATGTATATGTACAAACAACTAATTTTTAACAAAGGTGTAAAGGCAATTCAGTGGAAAAAGGACAGTCTTTTAAACAAATGAGCTAGAACAACTGGATACCCATATGCAAAAAAAAAAAAGAACTTCCATCCATACCTTGCATTATACTCAAAAATTAACTCAAAATGGATCATAGATTTATAAATAAAACCTAAAATTATACCATTTTTAAGAAAAAAAAAAAAGAGAAAACAATGTAATTTAAAAATGGGCAAAAGATTCAACTAGGCACTGCACCAAAAAAGGTAACACTTCAAATAAGCACATGAAAATGCATTCAACATTATTAGTAATTAAGGAAATCCAAGTTAAAATTATAATGGGAGTCACCACACACTTATCAGAATGGCTAAAATTAAAAAGATTGACCATACCAAGTTGGATGAGGAGAAAGTAGAACTGGAATAGTATCATATACTGCTTATGTTAATGTTAAATGTAAAAAACATTTTAGGGAAAAAATCTGACCATTTTTTGGGCAAAGGACCTAAATAGACACCTTTCAAAAGAGGACATTCAGAAAGCCAAGAGACATATGAAAACATGCTCAAAGTCACTAATCATCCGAGAGATGCAAATCAAAACAACAATGAGGTACCATCTCACACCTGTCAGACTGGCTATCATCAACAAATCAACAAACGACAAGTGCTGGAGAGGATGTGGAGAAAAAGGAACACTTGTGCACTGCTGGTGGGAATGCAGACTGGTGCAGCCACTATGGAAGACAATATGGAGTTTCCTTAAAAAACTGAAAATGGCCGAAACCGGTTTGGCTCAGTGGATAGAGCTTCGGCCTGCGGACTGAAGGGTCCCGGGTTCGATTCCGGTCAAGGGCATGTACCTGGGTTGCGGGCACTTCCCCATTGAGGGATGTGCAGGAGGCAGCTGATCGATGTTTCTCTCTCATCGATGTTTCTGACTCTCTATCCCTCTCCCTTCCTCTCTGTAAAAAATCAATAAAATATATTTTAAAAAAAAAAAAAAAAAAAAAAAAAAAAAACTGAAAATGGAACTCCCATTTGACCCTGTGATCCCACTTCTAGGAATATATCCCAAGAAACCAGAAACACCAATCAGAAAGGATATATGCACCCCCATGTTCATAGCAGCACAATTCACCATAGCTAAGATCTGGAAACAGCCTAAGTGCCCATCAGTAGATGAATGGATTAGAAAACTGTGGTACATCTACACGATGGAATACTATGCTGCTCTAAAAAGGAAGGAACTCTTACCATTTGCAACATCATGGATGGAACTGGAGAACATTATGCTAAGTGAAATAAGCCAGTCAATGAAGGAAAAATACCACATGATCTCACTCATTCATGGATAATAGAGAGCATTATAAACTTTTGAACAATAATAGATACAGAGGCAGAGCTGCCTCAAACAGATTGTCAAACTGCAGCAGGAAGGCCGGGGAGGGTTGGGGGGCAGGAGGTAGGGGGGTAAGAGATCAACTAAAGGACTTGTATGCATGCATATAAGCATAACCAGTGGACATAAGACATTGGGGGATAGGGGAGGCTAGGGGAATGTCTAGGGCGGGGGGATAAAATGGACACATATGTAATACCCTTTGTAATACTTTAAGCAATAAAAAAAAAAAAAAAAAAAAATGCAAATACAAAAAAAAAAAAAAAATCTGACCATTTTTAATATATATATATTTATATTGATTTTGGAGGAGAGGAGAGGGATAGATAGAAACATCAATGAGAGATAAACATCGATTGGCTGCCTCCTGCACACAACCTGGGCATATGCCCTGACTGGGAATCGAACAAGTGACCTCTTGGTTCATGGGCCGACACTCAACCACTGAGCCACAATGGCTAGGGCTGTGCAGTTTTTGTTTATCAACTATGCCTCAAGTATATTTTGTGTTAATTATACCTCAATAAAGCTGTTTTAAAAAATGGCTAAAGACAATGAATCGCCATTAACAATTTTTAAGACAGAAGAATATAATTAGATTGTGTTTTAGGAAAAAGATAACTTGGGTGGCAATGTGAAAGACAGAAGGGAAGTGAAAGAGACTAACACAGGATTTTAATCAGAAATCTATCGCAAAGGCCAAGTAATAAAATGAGAGCTTAGGTGAGTCGATCTCTTTTGCCTTTTCTCTTACCAGTAAGAGTACCACCTGTATCACAAGGTTATTGTGAACAACAGATGGAATTATATACATGAAAATGCTTGAGTTATAGAGTACAATACAAATGTTAAAATATTATTGCAATTATATACATGCAATTCCTTCTTGTCCCTTTCCTCTAATTTAATCCTGGTACATCAATGGTTTCCTAACGCCTACCCTGCTCTCAAATACGAGGTCAGTGTTCTCTTTAGGTATGTAAGTATCAGAACCTTCCTGGCTACAAGAGTTCTGGCCTTCATAAAAACTATATACAGGTTGTCAAAAAAAAAAAAAGAATGTATACACACTTTAACAGCTGATAGCTCAATATAATTAGTGTGTGTATACTAAGCTAGGTATTGGGATACCCTATATTTGGCACAATCCTAAAAGACAAACCTGTAGCATTTATAGCTCCTGGAACCTCATTCCCTGTACCACATACAGGAGTGATTACAGACACTAAAGTCTTTCCCCAAAGATTTAAAGACCAACCTTTAAGAAAAAAATCACCCAACGGTCTTTCACTTTCATTTCCTACCGCATACCTCATCCATTGACATATCCCATACTCTGCAAATCTCATTCTCCATTTCTTCATCAAGCTCCATCTGCTGCTCCTCATCATCTGAGCTGGATTTGGTGTTTTCAGGGCTAACCATCTTCAGAAACACAAAAGAAAAAAGAGAAATGAATCAAAGTTGTCCACAGTACTCCTCAAATAATATTATCCCATAATCATTTATAAGTCACAAAGATACTACCTTCAAAGTGTTTTCTCTTGCAAAAACCTTTTTAAAAAATTAGCATCTTACGGATATCTATTCATTTAACATTCATAGAGTAAATAATGTTGCTAGGCACTGGGGTAGAAATACAAAGATGATTAAGATTTAATCCCTTGCTTTTAAGAAGTTTAGGGTATAGTGGGTAAAACACAGGTAAACAGATCATCAGAACAGAAAAGGCTAAGTGATTCAACTGAATTGTGGACAGAGTTGTAAGGGCAGCCCGGCTGGTGTGGCTCAATGGTTGTGTCACCTATGAACCAGGAGGTCACAGTTCGATTCCCGGTCAGGGCATATGCCCAGGGTTTTGGACTCCTAGGGTGTGCAGGAAGCAGCCGATGGATGATTCTCACTTATCATTAACGTTCCTATCTCTCTTTCTCACTCCCTGCCTCTCTCTGAAATCAATAAAATATTTTTTTAATTAAAAAAAGTTGTGAGGGCAGAAATGAGGGACCAATGACCCATGCCTGGGAGAAGTTAGGGAAAAGTTCTCTTAGGTGATATTTAAGCTAAATCTCTGAGGAAGAAAAGGAGGAAAGTAGGAGAGTTCAGAGTTAAGGACCTAGCATGTTTGGGAATGGTGAGCAGTTTTGTGTCATGAGCAGATGAGACTTGGAAAGTTTGCAAAGAGCCCTGGATTCTGAGCTAAAATATATGCATGTTTCTCCTGTAGGCAAAGGGAACTATGAGGAGGGGTTTTTTTTGTTTGTTTGTTTTTAATATATTTTTATTGATTTCAGAGAGGAAGGGAGAGGGAGAGGAGAGAGACATCAACGATCAGAATCACTGATCAGCTGCCTCCTGCACGCCCCCTACTGGGGATCCAGCCAGAAACGCCGGCATGTGTCCTGACCTAGAATCCAACCCTGACCGAATTCGACCACTGAGCAACACCGACCGGGCTGTTTGTTTTTTAAAAGGAAGATTATTCTGGCAACTGTGTAGAGATGGACTGGAAAGGACCGAGATTAGAAGTAGGTAACAGCTGGGGAAATGTAAGGAAAGAAACGTTCGCAGCCTCCCATAAGCTAAGGGCCAGGGTAAGCACCCGATGGCCATGGTCTTATTTAACCTACACGATAACCCTATATCCCACCACAGAGACGTTACCATCCCACTGTAGAGACATTGGGAAAGACATCGAGGCTCTGAGCGCTTAGCAGCTTTGCCCAGAGTCACCCTGCAAGGAGGCGACGAAGCCGCGCTTTTGGTACCAGACCTCTGACTCCAAAATCAACACTGTATTACAACAAAAGTCCATGAAATAGATTATGAGGGCCTAGACTTCGGAAACGACCGTGGAAATGGGGAGCAAAAACCCGGGCAACGCCTTTACATGGCCACATATTTTTGGAAAACTTGCGAAAGGAAAATGTTAACCGCAAGCGCTCCGGCAGTCCTGTCTCTATGCCTCCTTTAGAGCTGGGGGGTCCGGGGGAGCTGCCAGGACGCGGGGCGCGGGGCCGCGCGCGCCCGGGGAGGGGTCGCCGTGGGGACCGCGGGCCCCGGGCAGGAGGGGCGGGCCGGGCGCGGGGGATGGAGGGGGAGCCCACGCGAGGCGCGAGTTTCCACACCTGGATGAGCCCGCTGAGGACGCCGAAGAGCCAGTGCTTGCTGTACACCGTGCTCCCTATGCAGTCTCCCCCGGCCCCCTCCTCCTCGTCCTCGTCCCTGGGCGGCGTCGGCGGTGGCGAGGGGTTACGGTCCATGATTTGGTCGCTACAGATCTGCAGGGGCCGCGCCGGAAGCCGCCGGAGGAGGCGAGACGCCTTCTGGCGCCAGAGGGCCCGGCGCTGCTCTCGCCACAGCGCCCCCTACTGCCCAGAGCCCTGCTGGGCTGAGTGCCGGCCCAATATTCCCATCAGGGATAGGAGCCCAGATGACTCCCAACTCTCCCACTCCCCGCCACTCTACCAGGCACAGTCACAGTCATAATTGTTATTGGTCAGCCTCACTGGACCGTGTATTTCATCTCCTACATATGCTGTGCTGGACTGTACAGGACATGGTCATTTTGCCAGATGACTTCTGCCCCACAGTAGGCAGTCTAGAAGCCATTCCTACTCCAGGGTGGCGACCAACAACTCAATTATACTCAGAAGTGGCTGAAAACCACATAAATGCCCCACTTAAATGCAAACAAGTTGTAATCCCAACTCAACTTCTTAGATCTCTAAAATGTCTGTGGCCACCCCCTTGGTCACTCAACACAAGGAGAAATGTAATGGTGGGATGTTGGAATGGACAGAGTCTGTGGCATTCACTGCTTAGAGTTAAAATATTTTACTCTTTTAGATTTTACAAAGGTGTTCGACCATGTAAACACTTTTTCAGAGTCCCTCCCAGGGTCTTGGAATGGTCCCATATAAGTGAAGAGCCCTTGAAGCTTAAGCTTTGTCAGCTTCGCCTGTCGCTGCCTATATGCATGCCTGATAGGACAGTGCAAAAGTCATGCAGAATGCAGGATGGTTCTATGTTTGCAGCACTGTCCTGTAAATTGTAAGGTTTAATGGATGGCCCGTCCACTAAATGCCCCCATAATTGTGCCAACCGAAAATTTCCCCAGAGAGCTCCAAACGCTGGAGTGGGAATGGGGCTGGGTGCAATGCTGTCCTTGTTCAGAACTAAGGTCTAGGTCTCCATCTGTCCCCAGAACTGACAAGTTTGGGGAGGAACTCTGCTCATGCCACTCTCTAAGGAAATGGCTATTTACCTCTACACCCCCCAACTGCCCCCCCCCCCGTCCCCTTCGTGCATTGTCATAGTTCCCTGGGGCATGGAAGTATTTGTCTGAGTTTTTGTAATTGGCTTCTCTCATGTCGGAGTAGGCTCTCCACATGTCTTTAGTCCCTGGAAAGGAAGGAAACTGTGAACTGAAGGTAATCACATCTTGACATAATAGAGGAATAAAACATGTCCTTTCCACTGATTCCAAGACTTCAGTCATCGAAAAGCCCTTGGAGACTAACTATATTGTGATGAAATAAATATTTCTTTATTTTTCACTTCTTTAGGTTAATGTTATGAAAATCACACACCATGCAAATTTTATTCTGTTTGGCTCCACTCTAAGTTCTGTTGCTACTTTGTTTTGGCTGAGTGAGGCGTGTCAAGGAGAGGTGGGATGGTCCTGGAGGGATGTTTGCTTTCACAAGGAACCTCCACATGGAAAGATTCAGGGAACAGATGTGAGAACAAATGTGATTCTGAGGGAGGTTCAGAAGCACAGTGCTCCCAACCTAGTCAATGGGAGACACTCATTCCAAAGTGAGGGCAACTGGTACTGGGTACACCTGAATGTCTGGGCACTTGGGCAACTGTCAGAGTTCAATCATCAGGTGATAGTAAGTTCCCTTAAAAAAAATAAAGGCATTAAAGAAATGGGAGACACATGCAATGCAAGGTCAACTGACCCACCATCTCTAAAATTCAGCACCTCTCAATAAAATGGGTGAGTATTGCCTCCCTCAGAGTGACTACACAGAAGAACTGAGAAAATACTGTACAATGTCAAGAACATTGTAGGTAGACAATTTGCTATCATTTTACTTCTCTGGTCCTTAGGAAGAGGAGGCTAAAGAAAATAAAGGAATGAAGTAAGATGAGCATGGAGTCATTGGCAGAATGAATTCGATCAAACTAAAATTAAATGGTAAATGCCCTGACTGGTATGGCTTAGTTGGTTGGAGCATCACCAAAAGGTCCCCGGTTTGACTCCCAGTCAGGGCACATGTTCAGGTTGTAGGGTCAACCCTCAGAGGGCAACTGATCGATTTTTCTCTCTCTCTTCCTCTCTTCTAAAATCAATAAAAACATTTTAAACAAATAAAATTAAATGACCAAACATTAATAACTTGTTAGGAAAAGAGAAAAATCTAATGTAGAGTTATAATCATGGTTTATGTAATTGCCCCATGAGATAACTGATCTTCATTTCATATATGTCATTTTGGGCATTAGAAAACACAGTTTTGTGGAGAGGTATGACATTTTTACTGTTCTTATACACTCTGAGTTACTAATTTCAATAGATCCTTATGGTCCAGACTTGCATAACAAATATTTTGAAAATGTCTGGCATTTTTCATCACCTAGGAGCAGCAAAGCGAAGGTGGTGGCTCTCAGCCTCTAGTGTACACAAAATCAACTGGGTGCTTAATAAAAGCTAGATTATACACTCAGCCACAGAAATTGTGGTTCAGTGGACCCAGTTATCTGCATTTCACAAAGCACCCCAGATGCCATATGATTCTCATGCAAGAGGACCTAGAATAACCCTTTGAAAAACACTGATGTAGGTGATGAAAAGATATTTTTAGCTGGCTTTATGAGAATTTAGAATTAACAGCAAACTCTTAAGACAATTACTCAGAAACTACCACAAGAAAAAAAATGCAAACTATAATTCTGTGAAATAAATAAATGTTTGCCTCTTTACTATCTATGGGCTAGTGAGGTGTGTATCTCTAGGTATTGGCTTCCTGGCCAGATCTCAGCCACAACAGAAACATCACCAGGCATTGTAGGGAGAGAAGCTCTGTAGAGTTGCCTTTGAAAGGCACCACATCCACACTATTACCAGTTTGCTCAGATAAAGAACAGAATGTGTGTTCAGAAAACCCCCACTCTTCCACGTGCAGTATTGCCTGGGAGGCAGTCTAGTACCGTGGTTCATAGCAAGGTCTGGAGATCTCAATGATCCAGATTAAATCCTGCTCTACTTGGGTTTCTTTTTTTAAAATATATTTTTATTGATTTCAGGGAGGAAGAGAGAGGGGGAGAGAGATAGAAACATGAATGATGAGAGAGAATCACCGATTGGCTGCCTACTGCACGCTCCCTGCTAGGGATCAAGCCTGCAACCTGAGCATGTACCCCTGACTGGAATTGAACCCAGGACCCTTTAGTCCACAGGCTAATGCTCTATCCACTGAGCCAAACCAGCAGGTTTCTTGTTAGGTATCTTACTCTCTTTATGCCTCAGTTTCTCTGTTAAGAGATAATGGTACCCACATCACAGGAGTAAAGGATTAAAACATGAGGATGAAAACAAGTTCATTTGTCCATTAAAAAAATTCAGAACAGTGTCTAGCTCATATTAAATGCTCCATTTGTTTTGGTTGCAATAATTAAGTGGTTGGGGAGTGTGAATACTCCCCATACGTTTGATACCCCCACCCCCCCCCCTTCATTGCTGACACCAAGAAATGACCATCCCTAATTGCCACTAGAGGGAAGTAGAGGGCAACTTATATTTAGGGAGGCACCTCTGAATTGGCCATCTCTCCATCACACTTGCAGAAAGTTGGGGGCCAAACCTTATGTGCCTACGGGCCTGGGGATCCCAACAAAAGAGTCCAAAATGCGTCCAGGAAACCCTAGGGAACACCTACCATGAAAACAGTGTTCTCCTTCTACCCAGTCATGACCTTTGCTTGTGGGAATGTGGCCTCTGCTCAGGTGAAACCTGGGCGGGGTAGGATGCAGCCTCCTCCAAGCCCATGCTTGGGTCCTTACCTTGACCAGCTTCCCTGAGGAATGTTCTCTATCCTTGGCTACTGACGCCCAGGAGCAGGCAACAGAAAACGATGATCGTGGGAAGCTTCATTCTAAGACAGACAGTCAAGCAGACACAACCAAGCATGAAGCAGTTTTGCCCTGTCTTTTGGTCATGTTGACCCACCCTAGCCTTCCAAAAATAAATTCCACTCCATCTTATATTTCTATATCAATATCTATCTACATATATAGGTGAATATATATTCATGGTATAGATGGGTAGGTTGTGCTTCAGTTCTACATGCTCTTCTGACTCGTTAACCTCACAGTGATTTCCTGTATCAGACCATACAGTGAGCTTTTTGTACAAACAAGTTTCAATTACAATCATCCCCTGGCAGCCCTGAATCCCAACTGGACAGGAACTATCCCAAAGGCTTTTGGAAGTTTTGTGGCTTCCCTACCTCTCTGTCACATGAGATGAGTTAAAGAATCCGTAATTATTGTAGGATACCTGCTCTATCATCCCTACCTCACACAGAAGACACATATGACAAAATCTCTACCCCAAAAGTATTCCCATCTGGTGAAATCTAATCGTCAGAACAGTAGATTCAGGAAAGATGCAGAGAGCTGTGGTGCAGCACAAGAAAGCCGGTGGAAAAAAGAACTCCAAAGAACCTGGACATGTTGGAAAGTTCTAGCACCTCCCCTTGGCTGCTTGGTCCTGCTGACACCCCTGCTGAAGCTGAGCTGCCTGTGCCGCCGCCTGGGAGCTGTGCCTGGTGCTACATACGCTGACGCTTTGCTAGTGGGACAAATGGCAAGAGAGGTTTGAAGCAAAAATTATAATGTGGGCAATTCCTCTTGGTCAGAACCCAGCATCCAGGACACGATGGTTATTTTCCACACACATCTCAGTTTCCCAGATTGTGCAACCTGGCAGCTTTCAGGGATGTAGCAAATTGGCGTTTTCTGCCCATTTTCAGTCTCACACCTGGTGAGAAAGGTAGTTTTTCCCCTAATGTATTGACATTTGCTGTGAAGGGTAAACAATATTAGAAAAGAGATTCGATTGCAGAATGTGAGACTGCAGGGCAAGCGAAACAGCAGAATGGGCTCCATTGCAGGAAGACAGCTCAGGATGAAGCTGGGACCCTAGGCTGCAGGAGGAGTGAAGAAAGGACAGACAACCCCCCAAAATAAAACTTCCAGCACCCCTGTAGGGTGGACTCTGCACTGGAAAAGGGAGTCCTCCAGACTCAAG